ACTAGCTCTTGTAGACCAGGCTGGTCTCAAACTCACAGAGATCCACCTGCCTCTGCCTCCCGAGTGCTGGGATTAAAGGCGTGCGCCACCAATGCCGGCTGAGGCCACTTCTCTTAAAACTCTGTTCTGACACATTTGATCAGTGCAGGCTTTCAAAGCTGCATACTGAACCCTAAAACACTACTTTCCCTACTCTTCTACAGTGTAGAATTCATCTCACTGTTAAAACTCCTCAAATATGCTTGGCAGTGGTAGTGCAGGCATTTATTCCCCGAACTCAAGCAGCAGCAGCAGCAGCAAATGGTTCTCTGTGAGTTCAAGGCCTGGTCTACAGAGTAAGTTCTGGAACAGCTGGGGCTACACAGAAACACTCTCAAACAAAATAACAAGCAAACAAACAAAAACAAAACAAAACAAAACAAACTGCATTAAAAGGCTGTCATGTATCAAAGAACTACAACTCTAACCTCCAAACACAAGCCTTTGCAGTGAGGTACAACCGCTGTTTGAACACTTGTATTCCCTAGTTTTGAAAAGAGGAACATCTCTTTTTAAAATGTTTTCAAAGGCTGGGGAGATGCTGGCAAAGTGTTTGCCACACAAACATGAAGACCTGAGTCTGAGCTCCAGGCTCACATTTAAAAAGCCTGTCACTGCAGGGCATGGTAGCACATTTCTTTTATCATAGTACTTAGTAGGCAGAGGCAGGTGGATTTTTGTGAGTCAAAGGCCAGCGTGGTCTACATAGGTAGTACCAGACCAGTCAAGGCTACATAGTAAGACCCTATCTAAAAAAAAAAAAGAAAAAAAGAAAAAAAAAAGGTATGTTGTCATATGCTTGCAATCCCAGCATTGGCAAAGTGGAGACCAAGGACTCTGAGGCTTTCAATTCAGCCAGCTTAGCCTACTTGGCAAGCTCTAGCAAGAGATCCTGTGCACAACTGCCTAGTGACTCCATTCAGTTCCAGGAGATCTTCTGTCCTCTTGTGGCCACCACAGGAACTGCACACATGTGGTACATACAGTCACACACATATAAATAAATAGAAATTTGAAAAAGAAAGTAAAGTGTACAGCATCTGAGGAACTATACCAAGGTTGAGCTCTGGCCTCAACAGCACGTGTGTCCACACCAATGAGAACACACACACACACACACACACACACACACACACACACACACACACACACACACACGAGCGTGCGTGGTTTTAAATCGTGAGCAATCTTTAAGCCAAATGTATTCAGACCACTGTCCTGTAAAGTTGCTACACACAGGTCCTTTCTTGTACCTTCAACTACTAGTAAAACTAGCACAACTCTCTAAAGTACTGCTGTCTCCAAGAGCATGAGTGTGTTTGGGTACCACTACAGGAATCACAGAGTGGGTGTTAGGTCCCAAAGAAACTTAAGACAAAAGGCTGAGGAGCCCATTGACATATCTAAGTGGACCCTGGCCTCCAGGCCCACAAGTACCCATTTACAGTGTCCTGGCTCCACTCAGCAGTCACCTCTACTCTAAACCTCCCCAGCCTCTGAGCTTCCTTCCCCTTCCCCTAGTTTGTCTTTTATATAAAACCCAGCCATTTCAGCCATGGGCTCTCTTGGTCCACTTGGCCTCTTGGGCCTCCTTCTTGGTTTTCTTTGTCCTTGTTCTCCTGGTTCTCCACTCTTGGTCCTCCACTCTTGGCTCCTGGTCCCCTCACTTGCTCCCCTCCTCTTCCTGGCTTGCTATCTGCCCTCCCTCCTCTAATGGCCTGGTCTATTTTCCCAGCCATGTTCAGTCTGGACCCTTCCAGATGCTTCTGGCTGTTCTCTCCCTCACATCTACAATAAACCTTCTCCTCAACCATACCTAGAAGCAGTCGTGTCCTCATTTTGATTCAGTTGGGTAACAGTCACAGAAATCCTGTGTTACCATCATACATGGGGTGATGTGGGATAAGCTAGAAGATGGGCAGATTTAAGCCTGGGCAAGTACAAGCTTACAAACAGCTTCTCCAGATATGAGGAACATTTCCATCCCCAAATGATGGCTCCTGATTGGAACACTGCAGTTACTCCAGAAGTCACCACTGTTGACAACTCAATATTGGCAGATCTGACTTAGAGAAAGGCCCCTTAGCAAGGCCATAGGCACCTCTTCTGCCGTGAGGAACAGCACTTACCCCTACATTAGAAGACTGTCAGTCCACCCTGACCAGCAGAAATGAGGGACTTGCTGAGAATCCATGGCAGTCAGCCAGCCATACAAACTAGATGCTGAGTCCAGAGATTAGCTCATAATTTGGCAGGACTGGGCCCTCTGATGGGGGCTGGAATACACACCAGCTGTTACCACAGCTGATCTGGCTGGTGCCCTCCTCGGAAGAGCCTGATAACTCTTGCATGGTGTGTGTGTGTGTGTGTGTGTGTGTGTGTGTGTGTGTGTGTGTGTGTTGCAGTGTGTTTGTGTAACAGTTGGGCTTTGTCCCAGCTGTGAGTTCGTGACAAATTTCTAAACTTTACTAAACAGATGCTTACTCTGATCAACTTGGTGGCAATCTGTCACATCATGAAGAGTTGGCATGTACTGAGGGGACAGAAATCCAGTAAGACTCAGTAGGACAGGATGGGATGGCCTTCACCTTGCAACATGGTCTTCCTCATTGAGGAAGGGACCAGAAACTGCCTAGTTTTTAGTACATTATGAAGCTTGACACCTATTTGTCAAAAGAAAAGGTTAGAGCTCTACGAAGACCTGGACAGCTCTATTCTCACCTCTATCATCTTTAACTTGTTTCCTCTCATTTGTAACCCTGTAAACACAAAGATGGTGGCGGGCAGGTGGGCAGCTTCTGTCTCTGGAGCTTTTTAATCATTGCAGATGAACCAGCCATTCAGCCTATGTTCTTGAGAACAGTTCCTAAAGGCTCACTGTGATCCAGTCACATGCCTGTAAGGCATTCACTGAGCCAGGGTAAAACAAAGGAAAGGAAAGAGTCTCAAGGCTACGGGGCTACTGCAATCCACAGACAGTTATGACCAAAATGAGGCCAACCCTGCAAATGCTGTGTGTGTTTTGGGAGGGCCCAGTCTATAGCTCCTTTCTCAGGCACAAACCCTGGTGCAGATGTAGCCCTGTGTCTGTAGAAAACTACAGAAAAAGCCTAGGAGGGACATCCTCCATCACAAAATAAGGCCACAAAGCCAGGGAAGTACAGAAGGAAGAATTCAGATAAAAGGGGAAAAAAAAGTCTGCTCAAGCCTGCTTGCAGTGCTCTCTCTAGCAACTAGCTTCACCATATGTGAACAGCAGTGGGAAACAAACAGCACTTGTTCTTAAAGTGAGCCCAGAGTTGTATGCCCCTGTCTGCCAATACCCTTCTTCCCAGGTCCATGCGATGGCCACGGTTGTTCTGGCCACAGCCGTGTTTCCCCTCACGTGTGATCAGACTCCACACTACTCCCTGACTCCTCTAAGCCACACTGCACTGCTGCCAGAGTGCTCTCACCCAGAGGTAAACCCTACTGGCCCTGGAGCTCTGTGTCCTCACAAGGCAGGCTTGGCTGTTTGCCTGGCCAGCCTTCTCTCGTCCCTTTTATTGTATTCTGTCCTTTCCAGGTCACACTCCAGCTGTGGTAAGTTGCTTATAATTCCAGAGCTGTACTAAGTGGCTTCTTGTATCCACAGCTTCAGCTCTATCCTCTGCCTGGGATAGAGTTACCTAGGTAGAAGTCACCTCCCTGTGTTCTATACAAGCCGGTCCCTTTCCTCCCTAAATTACTCTATATCACAATGCTTCTAACCTTCTCATATATGTATACTATATATGTTTGAAATACAGAAGAAAGCCAATAAAGTACTCACACACTACACTAATACTTTGGTTGCCTTCCTGCACAGTGGACCTATTAGGGGCAGAGAACACATGATACTCAGCTTTGTAAGGCTGCTGTCCAGCACATCTCGAATACTGTTAACTATGAGTATGAGCTACTCTTGTACAGGGTCTTAAAATGAAATACCAAATGAAAATTATGGGTCCTGAACCCAGCTTTGTCAGTTATCTATGTTGGAGCATTTTGGAGCCAATGTGAATACAGAATGCCTGGCCATGGCCTTATGTACATTGTGTGTCCCTCCCTATTTGAGTCCTAAAGTCTATGAAGTACAGAGAATGCTATTACCTAGGGGAATACGAAGGTTACGTGATACACATAAAACCCGGACAGACTCAGTAAATGCTGCTAAAGAACTGCACAAAGCAAAGGAAAGAAACCCCTTAGAGAGACTCTACTCACAGAAGCCAGCAGCCGTCCATCCTCCTTCATAGCAAGGTACCGGTTTGCACACACGCCCTTGATAGACACGACCCCTCTCTCTTCTGCTTGGAGTTGTAGTTTGACTGTAAGTAACAGAGAAAGATTATCTTTATGGCACCTGAGCAGAGAGGCAGCCCCACAATACACAGAATATATACACATACCACAAACACATAACACACACACACACACACACACACACACACACACACACACACAATACAACACATTCATCACATCACACACGACACACACCATACTATACATACACACACACATACCACAAACACACACTCACACACCATACCACACACATACACGATATACAAACACAAACACACCATACCACACACACAAACACACTACAAACACACACACAGCATACCATACATCACACTACACACATGCAACACAATGCACACACCACACACACAGAACACTACACACACAAACATACACACCATACACATCACACAGAAACTCACACATATAACACACCACATACACATCATATACACATGACATACAAACACATATACAACACCACACACACACACATATACACACACACAAACTCACACATACCACACACACACACACACACACACACACACACCCCACCTATCAAGGTGCTGATCTAGTGTGCAGACCAGCAAGGTATAGGAGGAGCTGGGTGGACATCTTTTGAGCTGAGCTAGGAAGGAGCAGATGCAGAGCCCTCAGTCCATGCCCATCTATGCACATAGAGCCACAGAGGAGGATGGAGAACAAGTACTCTTGCTGGCCTCATGTGGCCTTGTTAACCATTCATGGCTTTGAACAGTTACCGTACGCTCTGGCCATTCCATTCCTGGGCATATACCCAGAAGGCTTTACACCCTACCACAGAGAGACTGGCACACCCTTGCATCAAATGCTGCTGTGTTTACTATAGCAAGGAAGCTGACCCAGCCGAGCTGTCCTCAACAAATAAATGGGTATTATTCCACTGTAAAGAAAAAAGTCAGGAAGATGTCAGGAAAACAGGGGGAGTTTTAAAGTATAATATTAAGTGAGTGGCCCAAGCTCAAAAAAGAACAAAACTCTCATGTTCTCCATCACATGGTGATCCTAGCCCATAACTGTGTGCATGTACAAACAAGAGCAAGCTGGGGATGGCATTTACAGAGAACGAGAGGCACCGGGTGATGAGGAAATGAAGAACACAGGCAAAGGATGCATGGGGCACCAAAGTGGACAGGAGGCTAAGTTTTCTGGTTTCAATTCTGTCATAGTTTTTTGTTTGTTTGTTTGTTTGTTTGTTGTTTTTCTCTGTGGTAGCAGGGAAGGTGTTGTGGGAAGTTAAGTGGGAGGGGACAATGTGACACCACACCTTCCTTCTTGATAGGTCAATGGGACCAGAAGCAGGGCCAGACTATCTCCTCCAGTGACTCACTCTTATAGCCAGGTCCAGCAGAGTCCCTAAACAGCACCTGGCTGAGGACAAGATAGTCAACTATGCAAGCCCATTGGGGCCATTTCAAACTCAGAATAATACCAGACTTTACTGCCAAACTTCTTACAACTCTGCCCAGGAAAACCTATGATGTAAGTCATTATAGCAGGGTCGGGTACAGAGTGTTCATCAAATGTGTTTGGTCCCAGAAAAAAGGAAGTCATAAGTCTTCCAGTACAAATTGCACATGGGTCCATCTGGGCACTACCCATAGGAGTAGAAAAGCCTGATGACATTTCAAAATTTTAGAAGCCAATGAAATATAATTGTAATGTGAATTTAATTTCCCTACTGTTTACAAGTAGCTAAGGAAACAGCACAGAACAGCTTCCAAAAGACCCTAAAATAATTACTAAAATTGCTAGATATTAAACTATGTTGCAATGATGATAGCATGCTGTTTTTCCTATCAGGGAATCATTATATAGATAAAATGAGACCTACTATATGAGATTAGCATTAAAATACTCTGACAGTACAGTACAAGCATCTGTATGGTGTAGGTAGGATAAATAAAACACAACTGATATGTTTCAGATCTATGTGAAACATGGTATTCCATGATTCTATGCTATCTTGTGTATGTTGAGAATTCATATTAAAAAATAAGAGTTCTTCTGGGCATGTCATTTCCAGCTCTCTCTGTGAAAGTCATCCCTGGACTTTCACAGAGAGCATTGGCTGTATGAAGCACACAGTTACCTGGGCCAAACTCTTTTTGCTGAACTTAAAACATAATATAAATTGAAAAGAATACACTCAAAACACAGAACAAAAATAAACAGGAGCAGGGAATCTCACCCTATCACTGGGAAGACAAAGAAGCTGGATTTCTGTACTATTATGTGCCAGTCACCAGGCCAGATCCAAGGTACTCCAGAATAGGTGACCTGTGAAGATGTAGGCCACTCTATCTTGTGCTGTGTGTAAGGCCATGGGCAGGGCTACACAGCCTGTCACCTCTTCTCCCCTCAGTCTCAGCTTACCCTTCCTAATGTGCATTTCCAGTCCCTGTGGTGACTGGGGCATCAATGTGTGGATAGATCAGTGTTAGCCTCAGGTTAAATGTCTGTATTCAGGGTCACTCACTCAGCTTCCTTTACCAACCTTTCAGGTGACATGTGCCTGGATGCTGTCAGCCATTTATCCACTAAGAAGTGGACATTAATTGAAGAGGCTTAAAAAAATAACCAGAGTTGGATATGTCATAAAAGCATTCAAACCAGAATATATTAATTCCATGTACAGATGATCCATTCACAAAAGCTGATGCACAGCCATGATCATCCTTTTTACCCTAAAGTGATATCTTAGTCCTTTGTTCTTGATGGTGAGGTGTGTTGCTTGGATGCAGCAGAAAGATGAACCTTGTTTTCTAATCCAATCAATTAAGTCTGTGTCTTTGCATTAGGGAACTGAGACTGTTAATATTGAGAGTTATCTATAAGCAGTATTTTCTTACTCCTGTTATTTTGTTGTTATGGTGAGGGTGAGAAGATGCAGGCAAGCTGAAAGTGAGAATAGATGTGGAAAATGTGAAATGAACTCCTTAACACAAGCTAGTGTGGCGACACAGGACAACTCAGACCAAGGCAAGAGGTCCAGCCAGAGATGATCAGCACAGTCCATGATGGAACAAGGTCAGGCATTTTACACAAGGTAGTGTATGGCAGAAGTCTAACCCCACCAGTATGGCATGCCATCCTTACTGATGTGCCCACTGTGCTTGCATGGTCCAAATAAATGATCCTACCCAAGAAGTTCAATTCTTAAAATCAACATGATATTCAGTGACATTGAAGGCTGAGGAGACACTGTCAATAATAAGAGTTTAATCTAACACAAAGACCTATGCTCCAACTCCAGAACCCACATATAAACTGGGCAAGGTGTTGTGTCCTTATAATCCCAGTCCTGGGGAGACAAGCAGGTCCCTGGGCTCCATAGCCAGCTAGCCTACTCTATTTGGTGAGATCCAAGCCAGTGAAAGACTGTCTCCAAAAAAATGATGAGAAAACAACTCCCAGCAGAAAAGATTACAATTTGACTCATTGAGTCAAAGGATTGAGTCAGTTGATTTCCCAGTGTGAAGCAACTTAAGTGTGGTAGTTTGAATAAGAATGGGCCCCCTAGACTCATAGAATTGAATGCTTGGTCACCAGGGTGTGGCGTTATTAGGTGTGGCCTTGTTGGAGGAAATGTATCACTGAGGGTGGGCTTTGAGTTTCAGAAGCTCAAGCTAGGCCTGGTGGCTCACAGTTCTCTTCCTGCTGCCTGAGGATCAAGATGAAAACTCTCAGTTCCCTCTCCAGCACCATGTCTGCCTTCATGCTGCCATGCTTCCCTCCATGACAATAATGATCTAAACCTCTGAAATTGTGAGCCAGCCCCAATGAAATGCTTTCTTTTATAAGAGTTGCCTTAGCCATGGCATCTCTTCACAGCAATAGAACATTGGGAAGGAAAGGGTTTACTACAGCTTACAACTTATAGTCTATCCTTGAGGGAAGCCAGGGCAGGAACCTGAGGCAGGAACTGATGCAGGGACTACAGAGAAACATTATTTACTGACTTGCTCTCCCTGACTTGCTCAGCCTTCCCAGGGATGGCACCACCCATGTCAATCGTTAATAAGAAAATGTCCCACAGAGTAATCCAATGGAGACAAGTCCTCTCTCCCAGATAACTCTAGTTTCTAGTAGGTCAACAAAAACTGACCAGCAGTTAGTTCTGTTGCTTTGGGCCTGTGGCGAGGCAGAATATCATGGCATAGTGAAAGACCCCCGAAGAGGTACTTTCGTAGAAGGAGACCCGCACCCAGGAATCAGCGAGGCCACGAACTTGGATGCAAAAGCAAGAGGCTTTATTGGAGACGCGGGTACCCGGGGCGACTTAGCTTCTGTGTGGCTAAGCGCCCCGAGCCAAGGGAAAGGGGTCCTTATATAGGGAAAAAGGCGCAAGCTAGGAGCAGGGATTCTATTGGATAATTCTAATGAGGCATTGTACAGAGCTATTCCCATTGGTCAATGTATATGAGGCGCTATACAGGGTTATTCAAATGAGGCAAAGTACAGAGTTATTCAAATGAGGTGAAACAAAATGAGGCGAAATACAGAATCATTTCTATTGGATGGTTTAAATGAGACATAGAGCCATTCCAGATCCGCATATTCTCAAGGTCTGTTGTCTGGTGTCTGGTACAGCAGACTCAATTCCCCCCCTTCCGCTTCCTGATGGCTGACCTTGGGGGCGGAGTGTTTCTCTTCGGGCGGGGGCTCAGGGGCAGGGCTCCAGGCCGGCTCACTCGGTGTTTGTTCTCGTGCCGACCCACCTGGTGCTCGCCCTCGTGCCGGCCCACC